AACATATACTTGGTGCCTTTAGCCGTTGACAGTCAGCTCATTCTCTGCCCACACCAAATTTTAGCTAATTTCTTAAAATGACTGCATTTTAGCCATTCTTGTATTAGCCATGGCTGCCATTTTGAATTAAGAACAAAGCATTTAGCAACAGTTAGCATTTGGGTAGCAGATGATAGCACTATGAGCCGTTAGCTACTACACAAAATTTTAGCTCATATCTGAAATCAGACTGAGTTGAAGCTGTTTATATAAAAACTACAGGAGGAATCATTGAGTTAAAGAGCMGCTAACAGTTAGCACAGAGCGGGGGGGCACAAACATTTTCCCATGGAGGGACAAAACGAAAATGTATCCGGGGCTGTGGGACATATGCAGAAATATTATACAGGAAATATAAATACTTTAAGTTATGTCCTTTATTTTTAATGATTAAGCGCAGCCGTGTGGCGGCCTGCTTTTCTTTTTATTTGTGCACTTCARCAAAACTCACATTTCATAAAAYGATRAAATGTGAGTTTTTGTGGCCTTATAAAGTGTGCAACTCTRCATGTGTGGTTAAATCTGATAAACACATCTTGTTGTTAATTTTATTTCATGTTTCATGTTTAATCTTAATAAATCAAAGATAAGTGAGTGGAGACTGTCTGCACACAGCTCCTGTTAAAGTCATCGGGTCAATGATGAAGTGCAAATATTATTTCTAAAGGACAACAGGTCAGTGACTGCTGCTGGTGGGCCAAATCTGGCCCGCGGGCCACACRTTGGTCTCCTCTGAGGCAGCAGCTAACCATAAAGTCAACATCTGTTTAAAATGACTGAGTTTTATCTATTTTGTTGTGATGAAATTTTAAACTCAGATTAATTAGTAAAGGTTTCAGTTCGTTGCACTGATTTTATTTTAGTTTATTTTTAATATTTTAGTTGGTGACACTTTTATTTGTGTACATTAATTAGACCGCAAGTATGAGAAKAAAGAAAACCCGCGGGTTCCGCCCTGGGTTCGGGTCACCGGTACCTGCAGGTCGTCCGCGCCGGGCGGAGGGAGGCCCAGGCCGGCGGCGGGCAGCAGCCTCTGGTCCGGGTGGTGCATGCCCACGCCGTAGGCTTGAGAGCCGTGTGACGTCATCAGCGACAGGTCATGGCGCCGGTAAGCGTCCAGGCAGCCCAGCTCGCGCCGCTGCTGCTCGTCCAGGCACGAGGACTTGAGGGCCGAGCGCGCGCTGTGCAGGTTGATGAAGTCTGCCGGTTCTCCGTGGTGGATCTGCTGGTAGTACTGGCCCGAGTGCAGCGAGTTCAGCCCGTAGGCCTCCGGGCCCACGGCCGGGTGCGAGTGCTGGAACTCGTAGTGGAAGGACTGGTGGTGCAGGGGCGTGTACTGGTGGTTGGCCGAGAAGTAGGGCGACGCGAACTCCGTCCCCGCCGGGGCCGGGTAGGTGAGCGGGGACGAGGACGAGTAGGCGACCGACGAGTTGGCCACCGACTCCAGACAACCGAGCTGCATGAGCCGGTAACTGTTGGAGCCGTCGTGACGGATCTGCGGAGAGGAAACACAACTCACACTGTAAAACACAATCACTTTAAAACACAACTCACACACTTAAAACACAACTCACACTTTAAAACACAACTCACACACTTTAAAACACAACTCACACTTTAAAACACAAGTCACACACTGAAAAACACAACAGACACACTTAAAACACAACTCACACACTTTAAAACACAACTCACACTTTAAAACACAAGTCACACACTGAAAAACACAACAGACACACTTTAAAACACAACTCACCCTTTAAAACACAAGTCACACACTGAAAAACACAACAGACACACTTAAAAACACAACTCACCCTTTAAAACACAAGTCACACACTGAAAAACACAACAGACACACTTAAAAGCACAACAGACACACTTACAAACACAACAGACACACTTAAAAGCACAACAGACACACTTAAAAACACAACAGACACACTTAAAAGCACAACAGACACACTTAAAAACACAACAGACACACTTAAAAGCACAACAGACACACTTAAAAACACAACAGACACACGTAAAAACACAACAGACACACTTAAAAACACAACAGACACACTTCAGAACACAACAGACACACTTCAGAACACAACAGACACACTTCAGAACACAACAGACACACTTC